AGCTAAAGATCCTAAATATATACGCACCCAATACAGGAATACGTAGACATACAAGACTTATAAAGAGACTTAGACTCCCACATAATAATAGTGGGAGACTTCAACATTAATATTAGACAGATCAATGAGACAGAAAATTAACAACGATATTCAGGACTTGAACTCAGATCTGGAACAAGTAAATGTAATTAACATTTATAGAACTCTCCACTTTAAATATACAAAATATACACTCTTATCAGTACCACATCATATCAACTTAGAAGTTTAAAAGAAATCTTGGTTGACTCCTTGTTTGTTATTCTCTTCCCTCATTTTCTTTTATATCTCCATTATTAAGGACAATTATAGGCATACCCATATTTAGATTGCATTCTAGCCCGGGCAATAAAGCAATACCCCCATCCTCTCTCCCTCTTCCTCTTTCTCTTTCTTCCTCTTCTTTAAAAAATAAATAAATAAATAAATAAATAAATAAAAATAAAAACCAGTATGACTTTGCAAATTACAGAAATAGAAAATACTCAACTGAAATAGGACTACTATTTACACCTCAATGCCAATCGAGTATAGTACTTCTAAGCTAAAGCTGATAGCCTCTTTATAAATTACCATCTGTCTTTTTATTTACTTTTTATACAATGCAGTCATTAAGGATAGAAAATATTTCTTTATTATAGAACATTTCTTGTTTTCATTTATTTGATTACAAAAATGAAATTGCTCATTTATAACTGAAAACAATAATAAAACTGATGTTTTCACAATTTTGCTAAGTCTTCAAAGGACTATTACAGATAAGAAATTACTTAAGAAACGCTCATGTAAACAGTAACAGATTTATACATATTTAACTTGAAGATTTTTTTTAAAACTTTTAAATAAAAGCAACATATTTGTGAAGCAGTCTGTATTAAATTGTAGCATTGGTTATAATATGAGAACTGGTTTCAAATTTGGCAAATTATTATTTTATTTAACATTTGTATTGCTTAAATTGATCTAAAACTGCTTTTTAAAAATTGTATTACCTTTCTGCTAGAATTTATTCTTGTACTTAATTAAATCTTTTTGGCAGTTTCCAGTTTCAAGAATTCCATGCATGTTCACAGACATCATTTTCAGTACTGTAAAGCATTTGTTTCTTGATTTGCTGAGTTGAAGTATTCAATTTAAGTCATTAGCTAAACAGAAGTCCTCAGTTTATGCTAATATTGTTTTGTCATAATGTCAATCAGCAAGTATTGCAGAGTGGCACAATGGCAGTGAATTTCATTGTCATTAATCTGAGAAAGCTTTGGGCTTTCCTTGGCAAAGAGCAGAGGTGGGCTGTGTCAAGGTTATGGAGGAGGTACAAATTTTATTAGTCCCACTTTTCCTTGAGATGTTATTAAGTGCTATTGATAATTCTACAATATAGGTAGAAATGTAAGCTAGTGTATATTTATAGATAAGAAAGTTGATAAAGAGTTAAATAACTTATTCAAGGTGTCACAGCTTGTTAGGGCAAAGCCTTGACTAGAGGCCAAGTCTCCACTGCAACGCACTTTCTTATGTTTCAAATGCCAGTGTTTAAAACAGGAAGAGGCACTGTGTGTGCATTATGTCTGCATCTTTCCAACAGAGTAGTTTATCATGTATTACACTGGGATATTGTGGAAATCCCTAACCTGGGAGTCAGAAGGCCAAGATGCTAGTTTGTTCTACATTACAGATTAGTCGATTTTTGGAAGATTGCCAATTTTATAAACTAGAAATTACTTCTACTGGCAGATGATAGAGAACTGTATTGACAGAATGTCTGGTAATAGAGTTCAACATATTAGAAAGGAATTCTAAGGTAAATATATGTCATGTGCAAATCTTGTCTACCTTTTATTTCTTTGCTAATTCTTAGAGTATTCATATTCTCTTCTTTCAACTTTAACAAATATTTCAGTATTCCAAGAAAGCTGCTTTCCTTTGATGATTTATTTACTATTTTCTTCCTAATCTATTTCTAAAGCTTATATATCCACTATACTGGAAGGAATCGTATTGTTTATATATTGTTAAAGTGGCAGTGAGTATAATCCACAGCACAGTGTCTTGGCCCTGTTATTGTTAATGAGTGTGATAATTAAGATTATGGTGTAAAAGGATCTATGAACCTGACTTGAAAGTGTTTTTTCATATAAAAACTTCCTGTTATGACTATGTAGTAGTGTGCATGTTTAGCTAATGACATAAAAACAGGAATCACTTTGGCAGATCTTTATCATAGTAAAAAATCTGTAGTTACTCTGCAAAATCTCTTATCTCTCTCTGTTTAAAAACATTAGTAATCAAGGTAAATTTAATATTAAAATATATATTAATATTCTATTGTGATTTCAATTGTATGTACCACATATTTATATAAGGAAAGAGGGAAAGTCCCAACTGTTTGATATTTTTTTTTATGTTGTTTCGATTGATGGAAAGCTAGATTGTGTTTTTATATAACGCTTCATTCTGTGGGCTAACATCCTTCTTTCCTGCCCAGAGTTCTAGAGCCTGGGTGGTCTAAAGTGATGTTGATTTACTGTACTCTTGAGATGGAGAATACTTTCAGAAATCAACATTTACCAACCTCTTGCTTCTTTCCTGAGCACTGTCTTTGCTGTTACTCAGGTATATGTTACGTTGGAAGGAACATTTTGTGGATGCCTATGTGCGTATGGACATAATCAGTTTACTAGTTTATATACTTTCACTGTTCTGTTTTATATTCTCTTGGTAACAAGAGAAGTAAGGATTAACTAACTTAGCATGATCAAGCAAGATACTGGCTCTACAAAGAATGGAGTTGATTTCCTGCAGTGTTTCCTGGAGACTAGCATTAGACCTTAATCCTGCCAGTCATACCAGGGGAGATGTGGGTTCTGTTGATGTGACCAGACCTGCTGCTAGTTTCCCATGCCATTTAGCTGCAACTGCAAGGCTTAAACTCAGCTCTCCTATCAAGGCAGGAGAGCCAGTGGGATTGACAACCACCTGTGAAGCCTCACCTGCCAGGATCTGGCTGGCTGGCTTGGCCTCCGATCATATCAGAAGAAGGGCACTACTTTCTTAATCATGCAGCTTTTAAAACTCTCCTCAGCCCCGCACTTGAGGGTCTCTCTCCTATATTCTAACGTCTAGCCCTGCAAGAATGCAGTATGCTGTCCCTGATATGGTAGGACAGCAGAAGACCTAAACACATGCTACTGATCCTGACCGTGGGTTTTCCTTCCATAAACACTGTTCTGGCAAGCTTTGTGTGTGCTGCTCGACCGTTTGCTTATGTTTGCACAACAAACCAGAAATAGAACTTTGATTTTGAAATCATTTCTCTGCTAACTAAAGCTATTAGATATGCAATGATATCCGAGTGAAATTTCGAATATACGTATAAGAAATTTGTTTGCTGAGGGCAAGAGACACAAATCCAGTAGTCACTGAGGATTCAAAGTACTAGGGATTTTTTTCTCACTAATCCCATATTAGGCATAATATATGCTAGTTTATTGTGTAATATATAACTCTGTAATACACTGAAATATACGTAATTTACTGTGTATATAATATAGTATACCATTTATGAGTGTGATAGTTTATAGTATCAAATGACCTAAGAACCTAATTTGAAGTGCCTTTTTATATAAAAACCTAATATTCTAATCCCTAAAATTCCATTTAAACTATGCAGACAATGTGTGAAAATATTTTAAAAACACCTTTGATTTAAATATAAACAGATTTTCAATTAAAACCAGCTGAAATTCTTATTATTTGTCATCTAGACTTGTTGTGTATGTGAAAAAAAATCACTAACAGTTGGGTAAAAAGCATGAGAAATATTTTAATAAATGTGGTAATAGATTAGGTTATGAGTCATATTAGATCTATTAGTAATAGGTCAGATTTCTTGGATTCTTTTATACTATAATCTTAACTATTACACAAGAGCAGTATGTTACGTCATATATTATGTTATACTTATGTTATTTAAGCATAACATATACCTAATATGGATTAATGAGAAAGAATTAGCTGGCAGAACATAGTTATATTACTCTAGCATTTATTAAAACCTTTTTATATGCCTTTTACCCAACTATTAATTTAGTAATTTTTTTTCCCCTATATATTCAGCATGCTAGACAACAAATAATTAGAACATAAGAATTTCAGCTGGTTTTAATGCTTTGGAAAAAGTGTTCATATTTAAATCAAAAATGTTTTTAAAATTTTATTTTCATACTTCTTCATCTTCATAGTTTATACTGAATTTTAGAGATTAGAAAAGTACTTTCAAACACTGGGGTAAAGCACATTTACAAGGTTTGTATACCTTGTTCCGTTTCTTACAATAATTTAATGATATTTATTATAAGATTAATCATATAAAATGATGTCCATACTCTTAGAACTGATCTCTACGTCTCTAAGTTGGGTAATTGGTATTTGATATATATTAAATAATGAAAATTTGAATCAGTATATTATAGCAAATGAATAATTTGTTTGCTGGAGCTTTTATTCATCAAGTTTCTCATGTCTTTTTCTGGATAATGTCATATAGAGAAATGTAAAAGATAATTCTGAATATAAATAGTGGGGGTAGATAAATCTATCTTTTATAGTTATATCTTTCTATTTATAAAAATCTATACAAACCAGGTATTTCCTCATTTTAATGGAATTATTGCCTAACAAACTTGATAGCGTTGGATAAAGTTAAGTTTATTCTAAACTGTTAACTTGTAGGTCCTTGGGAAATTTGCTTTATTAACTCTTTCGTAGTGTGGAGAGAGAGAGAAAGAGAGATGGAAGTGGGAGAATTAGTTAGCTAGATTTCTTAAGAATATCTTTTATTATTACATAACCTGTATTTCTAAATAGCTATGTTTTACCCCTCAAAAAGTCTTTAAAATAAGTACTAACAGATATTCAATATTTTAATATATTTCAGTAACTTTTTTGTATCTTAATGTCAGGTCTTCAAACATGAACTAGCTTACTTATTGGCTGGAATTCTTGGAGCAGCAATAGATTATTGGATCTTCCTTGGTCTTAGGATGGGTAGAAATGTGATGCGACACATGTCTGATGACTTCGGAAATTATATTTCTCTTTCATGTGATGGTAAGTTTGTCTATGTTCTGTTTTTTTTCAGACCTATTCTGGAAATTAGTTTTGAATTTCTTTTTAAGCAGTCTGTTAGCTTTAACATATGTTCATTTGAAGCTTTCCTTAAAATACTTATGGATACATGCACACATAGATACACACACAGAAACAATATAAAGAGGAAGATTAAAAGTACCTATAATGCTCCTACACAGATACCCACTGTTAACTTTTTAATGTCTTTCTGGTATTTCTAAGCATAGAAATAGAGTTCATACTATATATATAATTTCGTATCTTATTTTCCTCTAACATTAAAGGAGACTTGCCCTCACATACATTTATTATTCAAATATAATTATTTGCCAGGTGCAGTGGCTCACACCTGTAATCCCAACCTGCTTTGAGAGGCTGAGGTGGGAGGATCTCTTGAGACCATCCTATACAACATAGCAAGACTCTGTTTTTTAAAAAAAAATTTTTTTTAAATTAACTAGGCATGGTGGTGCATACCGGCCGGTAGTCCCAGCTACTGGGGAGGCTGAGGTGGGAGGATCCCTTGAGCCCAGCCTAGGCTGCGAGGAGCCCTGATTGTACCACTGCACTATAACCTGGGTGACACAGTGAGACCCTGTCTCTTTAAAGAAACAAACAAGAAAAACTTGCTACTGTTTTTTCCCCGTTAAGTATGGTGGTCTAACAAGAAGTGAACATGGATAAAGCAAACAGAGGTAATTTATATGGATATTTTTTTTCACTCTTCCTTTTCTCCCTCCCCATTACCTACTTTAAAGTCTCCCTGCCAAAAATGGGGAAGGATTGTTATTTAAGCAACATGATGGCAGAACTCACTTCACAAGTGAAAAATCCTAGCCAATGCTTTGGGTCTCTAGACTGAAGGAGGCTTCCATAAAGACCTTATGTAGATTCCCAAACTTTCATAGCCAGTTTAGGATGAGTCTTTATGTATCCTTTCCTTTTTTCTTTATTTCTTAATTTCTGTAATCCTTAATTCCTAAAATGAATACATTTTAAACCAGGTGAGTTTTTTGTGATTCTTAGCTACAAAAGATGATTTTTATATACTTGTTATTTTAAACTGCCAAATAAGTACTCTGCTACACATGTGTTTCAATGTATTTTGATTTTATATAAAGGAAAAAGTCTTCAGTATGTTGTCAATCACTTTAACTTTGAAGAGAGACTTCAGAATAGGAATCCAGGTTATAACTGGGTTCAGGATTTATTCAGTGATGCCCTCTGCAGAGAGAGTTCTCTTTTTATACTACCAAAGTTAGAAGATTTTTATCTGAAGCATTTTATCTCTTTTCTTTTTTTCTTTTTCATTGAGCTGAGGGGCTGATTACAGTTCCTTTTGTGGACTAGCTGTTCTTTGTTGCATGACTTCAACATTTCTTAGCTAACATTCAGTCTTCCTGCAGAACCCTTTCTTATTTCTTTCCTACCATTCCTACTAGGTAGTTTAGTGGTTTTTATCCTTTTCATAAACAGCAGAATTCTGGCATTAGTTGCTATCATAGAATTTTCTGTTTTCCTTCCTTAATGAAATTTGAATTTTGAGACCCGGTAGAGGATTAGCAATGGCTTTAGAGATTATCAATATAGTTACATGTCTTGTTTCCAATACACAGTAATTGCCCTTAAGGAATTATAATTTATCTTATAGTTTAGCCAAATGCATGAAATAATGAGCCGTATATTAATGGAATTCTATCATATGTTATACATTTGCTTCAATGCTTTCTTCACTAATATTCTGTATTTCCCTTCGCTTTAAAGCAGGACATTGTTATCCAATTTTATTTTCAGTTTTTACATGATAAGTTGAAACCCCAGAACTTTGATTCTGTGACTAACATGAGCTTAAACTCAACCTTAGTGTTACTGTTAGGATCCTGTCAACAGCTTGATTATTTTGCTCACAAAGATCTGTTAATATATTTGATCACTAACATTCAGAACTTTAGATGAGATTTAAATTGTCATTATTGAAAGGTGTTTTTAAGCCTTTTTCTTTAACTTTATCAAAACGTGTGTGCGTGTGTGTGTGTGTGCGCACACACACACACACGCAGTTGGTTACTTAGGCTTCAGATTAAGGTATAGCTAGGCAATTGAAAAGTTTTTGTTGTTGTTGAGACAATTTCACTCTTGTTGCCCAGGCTGGAGTATAATGGCACGATTTCAGCTCACCAAAACCTCCTCCTTCCAGGTTCAAGCGATTCTTTTACCTCAGCCTCCTGGGTAGCTGGGATTACAGGCATGCATCACCATGCTCAGCTAATTTTTGTATTTTTAGTAGAGATGGGGTTTCTCCATGTTGGTCAATTTTATCTCAAACTCTTGACCTCAGGTGATCCACCTGCCTCAGCCTCCCAAAGTGCTGGGGTTACAGGCATGAGCCACTGCACCCAGCCAATTTAACAGTTTTAAACATTATTTATTTTTTGAGAGAGTCTTAACTCTGTCCCCCAGGCTGGAGTACGGTGGCAAGATCTCGGCTCACTACAACCTCCACCTCCTGGGTTCCAGCGATTCTTATGCCTCAGCCTCCTAAGAAGGCTGGGATTACAGTTGTGCACCACCACACTTGGCTAATTTTTTATATTTTTAGTAGAGATGGGGTTTTACCATGTTTGCTAGGCTGATCTCAAACTCCTGACCTCAGGTGATCCACCCACCTCAGCTTTCCAGAGTGCTGCATTACAGGCCTGAGCCACTGTGCCCAGCCAAAAGTTTTAAACATATATTTCTAAAAATTGTCCAAATTAATATTTTTCTATTTTCTGTCAATTTTTTTTCTTTTAGTGCAGCTTGGTGTTTAACTTTTGTCAAGAGACAAAAATCAAGTGAACATTTTATCATAAACCAGTAGCTTTTCTATAGCTAATATGCAAAATTAAAGTGTTTATTGTGAAGTTTGTAGAATACCACACTTTTCCCTACAAGTGAACTCTGTTCCCCTCCAGCCTGAGGGACAGAGTGAGACTCTTCTCAACAACAACAAAAAATAATGTTTAAAACTTTTAAATTGCCTAGCTATAACCTAATTTGAAGCCTAAGCAACCAGCTGCATGTGTGTGTATGTGTGTGTAAAGAAAAAGGCTTAAAAACACTTTTCAATAGTGACAATTTAAAGCTCATCTAAAGTGTTGAATGTTAGTGATCAAATATATTAATAGATCTTTGGGAGCAAAGTAATCTGTCAATAGGATTATAACAGTAACACTAAGGTTGAGTTAAAGCTCACTTTAGTCACACACACACACTCACAATTCATACTTTTTGAAATTCATTGTTTGCCACCTCTTTTTTTTCCTCATTTCTTTTCTCTGCAGATATTCCTTCCTTTAAAAAAAAAAAAATTCTTTTGCATTATTCTTCTACTCAGTTACTATCTTTTGCTTTTCCCAAGTCATTAGTAAAGATGTTATAATTTCACTATTATATAACTCCCAGTTGAAGATATCGGTCCGTCTTTCTCAATTATGGTAAGCTGGACGTTTTGATTTTTCCTAGTTTAAATGTACAAAATTCATACCATGACACTACTGAGATTCGTATCTATCAAATTTATTTCAGTTTAGTATAATTTTTAGTTTATAATGGTTTTGTCAAGAATTAAGGGAACAGATATTTTAAAAGATAAATAAAATTTTTTTCTGTCAGATCTCATGTGCATCAATTCCATATAGATGCCATTCTATGTTGTTTCTAAACACTTTCTTTTCTGTATTTAAGGTTAAACTATCTGAAATTTCTTTTTTATGCCTAAAAATTCCTTATTTAATGGCTTAAACTACAGATTAACAAACTTTTTTCAATGTTTAATACCAGATAGTAAATATTACTGGCTTTTTAGGCCCTACAGTCTCTATCCCTGCCACTCAACTTTGTAGTTGTAGTAAGAAAGCAACCATACACAGTACATAAACAGACAGCATGGCTGTGTTCCAATAAAACTTTATTCGTAAAAACAGGCAGCACACCATAGTTTGCCATTCTTGACTTAAACTTACTTCTTATCCAGTTGTTTCACTGGGAAAGATGTCATGAAAATTTACTGTAGTTTTTTTCATAACTTGGGAGAACTTTAGTAAAACTTTCTTTGCTTTTCTTAAATTACACACCATCATTTCCTGATAAATATTTTTTCCAGATCTTCACTCACTTTTGCTTTGTTATCTCTAATTTCTTTCCATGCTTCAGAACTCTTCCATAAATATGTTTATATATCATTACTAATTATCAGCCAAAATGTTTCTGGTCTCTTCATTTATTCAATAGAATTTTATTGGCATTCTGTCAGTCATTGAGCTAAACACTTATATACAGTGGAAGAGGGAAGCAAAACATGGTCCTTGTGGGGTTTTTTGTTTGTTTGTTTGTTTTTTGGAACTTTCAGTAAGACAGTTAATAATTTATATTAACTGTAATTAAGTTAATATAAATATGTCATTTAAAATAAGTGCTCTGAACAGGAAAACCTAGGTGTTGAGATTGTTGAACTTGCTTTATACTGTGTGACCATGGAATTCAGAACATGAAGAATAAGTAGAAGTTTGACAGGGCAGAGTGTTTTAGTCAGAAGATAGCATTTACCAAAACTCTGAGATAGGAAAGAGGGCCTTTTTGAGCCTTTCTGGTGCCTGGCTGATGGGGAAGAGGCCACAATACGGCCAAAGAAGGGATAGAAGATGTTGTGTAAGAATTTGTAAGCCGGCCGGGCGCGGTGGCTCAAGCCTGTAATCCCAGCACTTTGGGAGGCCGAGGCGGGTGGATCACGAGGTCAAGAGATCGAGACCATCCTGGTCAACATAGTGAAACCCCATCTCTACTAAAAGTGCAAAAAATTAGCTGGGCATGGTGGCACGTGCCTGTAATCCCAGCTACTCAGGAGGCTGAGGCAGGAGAATTGCCTGAACCCAGGAGACGGAGGTTGCGGTGAGCCGAGATCGCGCCATTGCACTCCAGCCTGGGTAACGAGAGCGAAACTCCGTCTCAAAAAAAAAAAAAAAAAAGAATTTGTAAGCCTTGTTAAAGAGTTAGAAGCCATTGTAGCAAGGGAGCAGCATGATCTCATTAACTTGATTTAAAAAGATTGTCCTGGCTTGGCTCTCTGTTATGAGTTATTGGTATCTGCCAATAATTCATTCATCTGCCAAACACTAAATGTTTACTCTGTACAAGTTAATGGCCTATATACTGTAAGGACTACAAGTATGACTCTTCCCTTGAAGTTCTTATAGTCCACGGGCTAATTTTCTTGTGTCCTTTTGTTCATCTATTATTTATTATTCCCCTTGACTTTGTTACCTGGTAATATGGATAGTTACCATATTAGTAGTTGGTATTCCTTATTTCTGTAAGCCTATCAGATGTGATCTTTATTAGATAAATAACCCCATTTGTAAATTTCAGTGTGAGATCATCTCTTTTGAACTCCACAAGTTATTTCTGCTTTGCTTTCACCTCTGTCTAGAGTTCTTACGTTAAGAGATCAATTGGTTGCAGTATACTCTGTGATGATAGATAGGGTTTTTAATTGTATATAATTAGAGATTTTTTTTTTTTTTTTTTTTTTTTTGAGACGGAGTTTCACTCTTGTTACCCAGGCTGGAGTGCAATGGCGCGATCTCGGCTCACTGCAACCTCCGCCTCCTGGGTTCAGGCAATTCTCCTGCCTCAGCCTCCTGAGTAGCTGGGATTACAGGCACGTGCCACCATGCCCAGCTAACTTTTTGTATTTTTAGTAGAGACAGGGTTTCACCATGTTGACCAGGACGGTCTCGATCTCTTGACCTCGTGATCCACCCGCCTCAGCCTCCCAAAGTGCTGGGATTACAGGCTTGAGCCACCGCGCCCGGCTAGAGATTGAATTTTCAAATTATCTTTTGATTCTTATCCTTCAGTTTGCTGCTTATACATTTTTAGATAATATTAAGAGAGCCTCAGTAGTAGCAAGAGAAAGGAGTGGAAATAATTCTTTTCTCCTTTCCAACTCATAATTGTATCTTTGTGGAGGCCATAATGGAAGGACTTAACTAATTTAGTGATAATGTATCTGTGTGGGGTTAGTTGTATCTGATTAATACTTGACCTGAAGCCATTTGCCCAAAGTTTTGAAGACTCCTTATGACAAACTGCCACAAGACAAGGGCATCAGATCTCTTTAGTCAAGGCAAATTTCTCAGCCTGTGTACTGATTATGTTTTGGGCTGGATAATTATTTGTTGTTGGGGCTGTCCTGGGCATTGTAGGATATTTAGTAGCATCCTGGGCCTCTGTCTTCTAGATGCTAATAGCATCCCTTTCTCCAATATGCAACCAGAAATTAACAGATGTTACCTGAAAGCAAATCCTCCCATCCACTATTGAAAATCAGAGTTAATTTGATAATAATAACTACTATTATTTCTCCCATACACTATTGAAAATCAGAGTTAAGAGTCAAGGACTATAAGACACTAGAACACCAGCCTTTTTTGAAGGTATCTGAGCAGGACATTCACTGGTTGTCTGCATTCTCTTCACCCTGAAAGAACTCCACCCCTGATAGAGAGGCCAACTTTTATGCTTTATACCGCTATTAAGTTTATCGTTGTCTGATTTTAAAAATATATTTTAACTTAATGCTTATAATTTTAATAATTCTGTTCTGTTTATTATGTTTATTTTGCTAATTTTATTGACTTTTTTATTCTTTCAGTGTTTATAGTTAATCTGCCTTATTGTATAATATCACAACTTTTTAATACTGTTTGTAATTTTAGCTCTTGATACCCTCTTGGTTGGTCTTATTTATTCTTTTATTATCATTTTGTTGTATTTCTATTATGTTACTTACATAGAGAATATTAATAGTTTATAATATTAAATAGATTACATGGGAAAGAGTCACTCTGCTCCTTTTTCAGTTTTAATTCATGTTTATACCTCTGGATTTTCAGCTTATTTAAGTATTTGAGCTTTCGTAGAACAGATTTGAGGCCCTTGGTGTTTTCTTGTTTTTTTTTTTGTTTCTTTGTTTCATCATTTAAAATTATCCACCATCTGGCATGTGCCTGTCCCAGCTAGTCGGGAGGCTGAGGCAGGAGAATTGTTTGAACCTGGGAGGTAGAGGTTGCAGTAAGCTGAGATTGTGCCACTGCACTCCAGCCTGGCAACAGAGTGACTCCATCTCAAAAAAAAAATTATACACCATCCCCAATAGCAGAGTGGGTGCAGACTTCTGAGGAAATCTTTATACATGCTCTTGTTTTATGTTTTTCTTCTGTATCTTGTACCTTTCCTCCTTTTCTGCAGTGATAGGATTCATAGATGTTGTCATAGGAAGCAGTCTACTTTCTTCCTATCAACTCAAGAGTAATGACTGCAAATTAGATACTTGTGTGCTCACTTAAAAACTAATTATTGGTTTTCCAAAGGAGCATCCCTATTGTGGGAAGAGATCTTTAATGGTAATTGGAAAGTATAGTGATAAATAAAATACCCTCTATATATTACCTAATTATTCTGTATATATGTAATTTGAAGACTTGTATTTGAAATAATAAAACCTAATGATTGTCTTTTCAAATGTGAGAACATGTGCCATTAAATATTTTCTCTTAAAAGTCAAGGAATAGGGATATTACCTATTTTTTTGCGGATTAAAATCGTGGATGAATCTTACCGGTGTAAGAACTCTCATTTGACAGAATAAACTTCACTAAGGAAATAGCGTATGGAAAAAAATTGTATAGGATACAGCAATAACTATATTTACTGATCTTGTGTTCTCCAGACTTTTCTTCACAGGAATTAGAGATTTTCATTTGCTCCTTTTCCTCCTCCTGGCTTCAAATGTTTGTTGCAGAGGCAGTCTTTAAAAAGTTGTGTCTACAGAGCTCTGGCAGTGTTTCTTCTGAGCCACTCTCTCTTCAGAAAATGGTAAGCACCTCTCTATTCTGGTTCTTTACATTTTCAAGAAGTGTATTCACAAACTCAATTTTAAAATACTCTTAGTTATTTCAAGTAAGTATGCAGAATATATTAATTCATAAATCTTGGAATTTTGTATAAAAGCTGGTATATTTCTACCTCAAAAATAGAATAATTAAAGACAGCCATAGTGGTGAGTGCCTATAGTTCCAGCTACTCAGGAGGCTGAGGCAGGAGGACTGCTTGAACCCCTGAGTTTGAAGCTGTAGTGCATTATGATTGCACCTGTGCATAGCCACTGCATTCCATCCTGGGCTACGTAATGAGACCCCTTCTCTAGGGGTGGTGGGGGAAAGATAGTCATCAAATAGAAATTTTAAGGCTGAGCATGGTGGTCCCTGCCTATAATTCTAACACTTTTGGAAACCAAGGCAGGAGGATCCCTTGAGCTCAGGAGTTCTGAGACCAGCCTGGACAACATAGCAAGACTCTGTCTCTAGAGAAAGTTAAATTAACTGGGCGTGGTGGCACTTGCCTGTGGTCCCAGCTACTCAGGAGGCTGTGGTGTGAAGATCCTTTATCCCAGGAGGTCCAGGCAGCAGTGAGCTGTGATCACCACTGTACTCTAGCCTGGGTGACACTCTAAGACCCTGTCTCAACAACAAAAAAAGGAAAAAAAAAAAAAAAAGAAATTTTAATTACTTTTCAGTGTAGCCAAGGGTTGATAATAGAAAAGTAAAAAATCCTTGTTTCCTAATAACATTTCTACATGAGGTTATTATTTTGGAAAGAACTAGATCTAACAAAATTCTACATGGTATAAAATGGCATTTTAAAAGCAAAATATCATGCATATAAGTAAGCTACATTTGATTTTAAGTTTTCCAGTTTTATTTTGGCTATCTTTAGATATTAATATCCAGTAGCTCTAGCAGTGTTTTATCAAATGAGAAATATATTTATTGGTCAGATTAGGCAAATTCTGTTTTGCAACAATCCTTGCTTAGGATGTTTTTATTCCTTTTCTGTTGAAAATGAAAGACTTGTTTCCTGTTCAAGAAAGGCATTATCAAAATGGAAATTACAAAATATCAGTTGTACGTAAATCATATATATAAAATATGCAAATGAATCATACATGTTGGGCATAAGACTAATCAAAAGAACTTTCCCAAATGAGGATCAAAATTGAATTAGAAAAAAAAATTATTTTCAAGAAGATATTTTTGTACTGCTTCACATCGTATTGACTATGACACAAAGCTAGCTTTCTTAATATTTTGTTATGTTCAGTTAAGACAGAGTGGCAACCATCGTGATGCAACCAAGAAAATATAACCAAATGTAATGGTGAAATGAATCAAATAATGTCTCTTTGCTGCCTTTTTTTTGTAGTTGAGAAAATAACGTAATATTATTTTTCAACAGGTATATTCCTATTTACCAGCCTTGGGGAAAACTGGTGTGCTTGGGTCTGGCAAGATTCAGATATCAAAGAAAATAGGACAGAGGCTTTGTTTTGAATCTCAGAGAGCCTTACTAATGCTGAATGGTACTAAACAAAACCAAGTCGAAGAGCTGCCACAGTTACCGTAAGTGATGCTGATATCCTAAATGTGCTTTGTTTTAGAGTACAGCTCTTTTTCCGACACATTTCTTGAACTGTATGGTTATCTGTGATACTCTCTGAATTATATTGATTAGATCAAAACTCAATTTTAGATCTATTTGATAGCATTTTCTGTTTCTGTAATGCAAGGAACATACTTCCTATTAAGTGCTTCCCAAAAGAAATAAAACTGTTCATCAAATTATTGATGAATTATTGATGAAATACAGTTTCACACAATTTTTGCCCTGTGATTTGAATTACTACTTTGCCATAATATAGATGGGATTTCAGAATGCATGGTCATATGAGATATCCTATATTGTTATATAGTAGTCTCAAAATGAGAAACCTCCTCTAAAAGTATAGGATATACAAAAGTGTATGTTGTATAAAACTCAGAAAGCCTGAAAAGTTCTATGAGAGAAAGAAGAGAATAGAATCAGAATATGAAAATAAGAATGGGGAGCAGAGGCCTGCATTCTGATCTTAGCTTTCTGCTTTATTCTGTCTGCCAAATATGGTTTAACTGGTCTTTTTCTCCTTATTTGACATTCTGTATTTATAAATTTAGTGAGTAGTTGGCGGAGTAAGATTAATAAAAGAAAATTAGTGCACTGAAATTTGTTTCTACACAGTTGAAATAAACTTTAGAAAGAAAGCAGTAAAGATTGAGTGAGTAAGGGGGTTTAAATTAAAAGGAGGCTAGACTTTTAAAAAATACCATCTAATGAATGCTGGCACACCTTGCTGAAAAACAAGCTTTCATTATTTCTTACTTTTCCTTTCAGGGGCCTGAACCTTGCTAAATGTTCCTCATCATTAAAAAAATTGAAAAAGAAGTCAGAAGGAGAATTGTTATGTTCCAAGGAGAATTGCCCCTCTGTAGTTAAAAAGATGAATTTTCACAAGACTAATCTAAAAGGTATTCCAAGTATCTAAATTAGTTTATGCTAAGAACTTTTCATGGTTATAGTCAGTACTTGCAGGTTTCACGCATTTGCCCTGATGAATACTTGAACTTAAATTTGTACTAGGTCCAGGAAGTGTCTTCTTGGATAATGTGTTATTTTCTTGAACTGTCATTTATGCCAAGAAAGTGATTGTTTAATACCCAGTGTAATAGAGTATTCCTTCGCTTTTTTCCTTTCCCTGCCATTCCAGATATGAAGCACAGTGTAGCATTCATTGAGCTCATTCCAGACTTGCCCGCCTTACTTTTCTATTCCATCTCAACCTGTGCTGCTTAGGATCAGTGTCTTCTGATTTGAAAGTATAATTCAGTCTTCATCTCTTTCAGTCCTAGACATTTTGTGAACAAAGAATGAAGAGTAGGCTATGTTACATAGCTGTGTTAAGCATATGGGCTCTTTTCTTCCAGGCATTGAGCCCAGACTATGAAATGTGTTTGGCTTTTGGTTCTAACTATACTGGAACCTAAGTACCTAAAGGATGAAATAACAAGAATAGCGTAATAATTCACTTTGGCACCCCTTTACTTAGACACCTCTTAACTTGCAAATGGATCTCCTAGAAGTCTATACCTGGCCAAAGTAAATTGCTGAGTCTTTGTTGTTGTTGTTTATGAGTTATAGCTTGTTGTTAATACAAATATTAACATGACGCCCACGGAAATAGTGACAGTGAAGCTCTTACATTTTAATGTGATATAAGTTCATAATTGCACATTACAGATTCAAAATAACTGTCCATTTGGCTCAGAATATGAAAAGGATGTTAGAGGATAACTCAGATATTAATTTTACAAATCAGCGTTCTTTGTTTTATTGTTTCAGAAAGTAAAATGAATATGAATGATTTTAGGCAGAACAGCAGAAGGAACTGGGAGAGAGAAAGAGAATTGAGATACAGTAGAGAAAAACTTCAAAAGCTTTTTTATGCATGTAAAAAATGTTTTTCTACAAGTTACAGAGATAATCTGTAAAACTGAACACTGTAAAAATGTGCTACTTAGTATTTGATAGCAAGAACAAATTTGATTCAGTATTTCATTTTGTTTCCTAAGCAGTCATTTATAATGTTTTTTTTTAATTCCCCTTAAATAATCACTTATGTCTTATTAATCTTGGTTATAACAGTGATGGATATAGAAAAACCCTTGTCATTCTATTTGTTACTCTTGTTCAGCTTTAAATGGTACCAGGGATTTTTTTCCCCGTGTGTGTGTGTGTGTGTGTGTGTGTGTGTGTGTGTGTTTATATTAAGATTCCTCCATTTCTCCCTCTCCATGCTGTTGTAGCCAAGCCAGACAGCCTATTGAGAAGCAGCAAACCATCTGTTAATGGATTTGAAGTTCTGAATTATACTTGAGTGTGTAGAGGCACTCATGCTTAGCCAGAAACATTCATTTGAATTAAGCTATAAATGCTGTATAAAAAAGAGCCATACATTTAACGTAGGTTCATGAATAAATTTAAGAGAGGGCAATTGCTCTCTAAACTTTTATTGCTGCAAAATCCAGTATTTTTGGTGTTCTCTGATCATTTGGGGGTTTTATAGCAGGATTGAAGCTTTAAACCTTGAACTAGGGGAGACAATGCCTGTATTAAACCTTTTGCGATCGAATTTCATTGCGGAATTGCTGATAGAACAGAAGCACTATGGATTGGTGGGGTCCTTCCCCTCCCCCTCTTTTTAATGCAGGAGATGTTTAAACCAGTCAAAAGGAAAACTCAATAAATAATTTTCTGGCATGAGGCCAGATCTCCTAGTTCATGCCCTTTGATTATTTTCGTTAGTTGATATCTTGTCTTCTCTGGAATAATCTATTAATTTTTTATGGCAGGAGAAACAGCCCTGCATAGAGCTTGCATAAATAACCAAGTGGAGAAATTGATTCTTCTTCTCTCTTTGCCAGGAATAGACATCAATGTTAAAGGTAAGTTTTATATCTTTGTGATCTAATCTAATGTCTTAATGTTTATGATAATAAACAGTTTTATGTCACATTAAGAAAAATTATTTAAGTAAATTTACCTAAGGTATCTTAAAAATATTACAATTAGCAAAGCCAGGAAATTTCTCATATATTGATTTATAGCTAATGGTATAAAAACATTTTTTGATGTCCATATTTTGATAATACCCAACATTAATATTTTAAAATTGTTTTTATTTTGATTTTTTTAAGATAGAAATACAATTACACCCTAGACATTTTTATCACAGCATTTGTTTTTTATATGAAGCACCTAGAAAGTCACACTGATGAGAAAAGTAGAACATCAATACTTTCCTACCAAAAGTCCTACTTCCGCCGTTTTAAAACTTGCCTTGATTTCTAATTTAGACAATGCTGGCTGGACGCCTTTGCATGAAGCCTGTAACTATGGCAACACAGTGTGTGTCCAGGAAATTTTGCAACGTTGTCCAGAGGTAGATCTGCTCACTCAAGTGGACGGGGTGACTCCTTTGCATGATGCACTGTCAAACGGACATGTAGAAATTGGCAAGCTGCTACTACAGCATGGGGGTGAGTGCCTTTATGCTAAATGGGTTTTGATAAATTATCCAGTTTTTTGATGAATCCTACAGAGGTAGATAGCATTTTACACTAAAATCTGTGAGGATATATGCCTTTATTTCATATTAATGAAAAAGTAAGGATAAAAAGTCTCTGAAAATGTACGCACCTTTTATTAGTAGAGGTAAACCTTTTCATAATATATATTTATGTATGTATGTATTTTAAGCCTATTTAGGTTTGTGTATGAGAGTCTATTTTTGAATTGAATGTGCTGGTTTTAAATATTTATCCTTTTACTTCAGGTGTTTAATGTCTCTGTGAGCCAGTCATTTCTGAAAGCTTATTAATAAATGGATATAAATGTTCAATTGTGATTACCTGGATTCTTCTTTTTTCATTCCTGTATATAACTACAAACTTAGTCTTATTTTTAATGAGTCATTTATGTACAGACTGTAAAAAAATGATATCCTATAATATTTTTCTTCATTCACATTTTGCAGCCAATTAAGTTAAAGTAGGAGGATTTTCAAATGGTGATAACTGTTATGCAGGGGTTTTGTGAAGGCAGTAACTTGAGCTGAATATTCATCTACTGTTTTTCCTGCTGATTTTTTATCTTTGCTTTCAGCAAGGCCCCACATTATTTCAGTATCATTCTTCTTATATATAAACTGAATAATAGAAGTTTTCCATCAAAATGTTCAAAACTGATTGGTGTTTTTAAAAGAAAAACAAAACTGATGATAAGCTTAGAATATGGAAACAAAGATTTGTAGAAATTACTTGTCATTTTTATTTGTATTTATTTTAACTTTCAATTTAACATTTTCTTATCCTGTAATTAAAACATTTGATTCTGCATAAAGACAAAAAGCATATTTTCTTAAGATGTCTTTTTAGTATATATGCAGCTAAGGAAGGCTGTATAGTATGGTAGTTTAAGACTTTGGTTATATATAGTCTTCTCCTGCCCCCTAAAGGCCTTAGTGTGTCTGTTTTACTGATATCATTTCATAGTCAGTATATTTTTCAGTTTATCTACTTTTTTTTTTTTAGTATTCTGTGTTTACTAAACCATAAGTTCTACCTCCTCAGTGTTTTATTTTTCTACTCAACCATGTGTCTGGCATTCAGGCCAATATTTGGTAGGAGCTGTTATCGTATGAAGTCCAGCTCTTCAGTAGAGTATGGCGTTATACCAACCAATGTGAATTTTTCTAGGGCCCTTAGTGGAGAATAGTAAAGAGATGAGTTTCTCATCCTAGAAGGGGAAATCTAATTGTATTTGTATTTATCAAGGTCCTTTGGCAATCGTACAGACTTGTTTCTGTTTTAGTCATATTCTGGGTTTGAGCCTGTCAAGTGGTTTGACATTTTTATTGAAGTAACTGCATTATCTATTCATTGTGACTCACTCAGTCTCAAGAGCAGTAATTTCAAGAATTTATTTATGTCTCTAAAACCTTTGTTTACTTTTGGTATCCTGTGTCTGTAATTTTGTCATCTTCTTTTTGTTTAGCAGAAGTAACTTGGAGTAATATTTGAGATGGTAGCACAATGATAAGGAACCTAATTTTGTTTTAGAACTATCTTTCCATAAATTATACATTCATCATGTTATCAGTGGTTGGTCTTTTAAGTACGTTTTATATCTATGCCATTATATATATCTGATCAGAGTCATCATTAAGAATTTTAGCAGTTATAATCAGTTCTCTCTTTCTGACAATATGATCTATGTTATAATGGTAAGACCTTGTGATTATGTGTGCTAGTACTAAAACCTTTATATCCCCCGCAACCTGTTTATGGCCAAGTGCATAAATAATTATAAGACTTGACTGATGAAGGCACAAAGCACTTCTATACTTTGCTATGTAATCAAATACTGAGTTATGTTTTGCCTCCCCCACATCATCCCTTAGTACCTAGAGGATAAACTCTATCTTCAGTACTTTTTAAGTAGGTAGATGAGTTTAACTAGTATAAATGGATGAATCTGAGTTTGATCTAGAGGAATTAATATGTAATTTGTGTGAATCAGTTACCTGTACTAAATACTGAACACAAGCAAGGGTTAATATGTAAACTGTGTTATCTGTGCAAGGTTTTACAGTCTTTGCACTACTAGAATTGTTTATTAGCAATGAAAGGGGCACTACTTTTTCTTCTTGGTGATGCTTTGAGATATCCTTAAGGCTCTTATACAGAATTTATAAGATGAATACATTTTTTAAATTTCTTGTGGGAATAGTGAAATCCTTATTTTAAGATGACAATCGATAGAGTTTTATAAAAGTTTTTTTTTTTAATTTGTAGTTGTATTTATATTTTATTTAAGGAATGCACTTTTGGACACACTTATTAGGTAATTGACTAGATTTTTTTAAAATATGCCTTTATTAGTCAGTCAATATATATAGCCTGTTAATTGTGTCAACATGAATTCATACAAAATATGATTATAACGAAAGCCCTGGATGCTTTGGGAAAAAAGAGAAAATAGCTGTTAAGCTGCCAAAATGGTAATGTTTTACTTTTAACATTTTGCATTTTCTTTTCACAGGCCCAGTGCTTTTACAACAGAGAAATGCTAAAGGAGAATTGCCCTTGGATTATGTGGTTTCACCTCAAATCAAAGAAGAGCTATTTGCTATTACAAAAATAGAAGATACAGTGGAGAACTTTCATGCACAAGCCGAGAAACATTTTCATTATCAGCAACTTGAATTTGGCTCATTTTTACTTAGTAGGATGTTGCTAAATTTTTGTTCAGTTTTTGATTTGTCTTCAGAGTTCATTTTAGCTTCCAAAGGGTTAACTTATCTAAATGAACTGCCTATGGCTTGTAAAAGTGATAAAGAAACCACCAGTGTTCATACTGACTGGTTATTAGATATTTATGCTAGAAATATAAAGACATTGCAGAAACTCCCACATATTCTTAAGGAACTGCCTGAGAATTTGAAAGTGTGTCCTGGAGTACACACTGAGACCTTGATGATAACATTGGAAATGATGTGTCGGTCAGTCACAGAGTTTTCATGATGATGCTAGAAAGTACGGATTGATGTTCTAAAATTTAATTCAACTTGCATTGGCATTTACTATGGATGTCATAGCTTATGGACAGATAGAAATTTGATTTATTTATTGACAAACTTTGCAGCCTTGCTAAATTTTAAAAGCATTTTCTAAAAATCTTCTGCAAAACTCTAGTGTGCTTCTGACTCTTTCCAGGGTGTAGAATTTGACTCAAAAGTAAAAATAATTTTGTTTTAGTATATACTGGTTTCATTAATCTTTAATTTTTTGTTATGAAAGTGATATATTGTACATGTAAAATTAATATAAATCTTTTTTCCAATCAAAATGAATGTCATCTATTCTAGATGTTCTAGGTCTTAGAATCATGGCAAGGATATTCATACAAATGTGTACCTGTAAACTTGTAGCTCCTGAGTCTTATGGATGGATTTTGAGGAACAAAAACATGTAGCTCCCTATTTTTTCTCTATAGGCTGTGGGACTGAAATATGCATTTTAGCTTTGTGTGTTTCTAAAATAAACATTTCTAAAATTTATAGTAATAATTAATACTTTTGGTTTATAATGCAGCAAGTATGCAGTCTGACAGTTCAGTTCCTTGATCTGTTTTATTTTAGCAATTCATATACAAGGTGTATCTGTCACTGCTCTATGTAACCAATATTCTGTATCTGAAAACATATGCTGCATAATGTTTGAGTTTCATATTATGAGTGGCATCTAATAGATTTGAGATTATTTAAGGTCTTAATATATAGTATGAATTTACTGAGTAGTAATGATTTATTCTGCTGTTTTTCCTAATAGCGGTTTATAGTAAAACTAAAAGAAAGGGTGTGATAATAACCACTTTTGAAATTGAAGTTTCTTCACTAGTAGGAATAAGCTACATCGTGGTACAGGTGGAAAAGAAACACTTCCATTTAGCTTTTATTTAAGTACAGTGATGACTTTACAGCAGTTAATCTGCTAAAGCAACACACTTCAGTTCTACCTTGGAAATAGATATTTTAACAAGATACAAATGTTCAGTATCGTATTACAGGGTTTATGATCTAAATTGAAAACTGCTACATCACTATGAAAAAGTAGTTTTAAATAAGTAATTTTTCACACATACTGAAGAAATACTAATTGTTTGTATTTAGCCTTCAAATTTGATGTCATACAAATCTTTTATTATTAATCCACCAAAGTATCGAGAAAAAAATGATATAATGAAGACTAAGAAAAGTTTAAATACTTATAATAGAGAGTAAAGTCCTTCTCCAGATGATGAATAAGAATATATTTATTCCAAGGAGTACCTCTTTACTTGTAAAAGTGTCTGAGATAGTGTTTGCTTGGTAAACTAATATAAACTTGTAAACATACCTTGACATCATACACATTTTCAAATCCTTGTCTAGCTTCTTAATAACTAAATTACAAGGCAGAGTCTTTCCTGAGCTTTGGTTTTTGTACATGTCAAATAGAAATCACACCAGGATCTTTGTCATGATAGAATTGTTAGCCAATCACATTATATGACACTTAATAAATACCATTTCCCTTCCAGTTATTACCTCCTCTTTTAATTGTAATGAGCTATTTAGACCAAAGGCAAGGTAGTAATTGTTTAAGTTGATACTAATTTTAAGGTAATTAAGTAATCATCATGAGTTAGGGTTTTATACTGTTAAGACAAAGTAGTTTTCTTAATTAGACGTTTATAAGATATATTTGTTTAGTTGCAGTTAGCATTAATATTTCACAACTGACTGTTCTGTCTGCCAACTTCTACAAGCCATGATGACATGAAGTATGAAACAGATGTCATTGAGGTCTCTGCCTTTCAGAAGTTTTGCACTTCTTTGAAAGTCCAATATGGTAAACATAGGTTACTGTGTTCTGTGCCCTGGCCAACAATACCAGTATATGAGTATGAATTTAAATTTTCGATAAAATACTTCATTTCCAAAATTACTTTTTATACTTTATTTTAGAAAACATAATAACTGCCTTGAATAATTACCCAAATCTATCTTTAAGGTATAGGAAGAAGAAATTCTCAGTAAGTAAAGTATAATTAATAATCTTAGTCCTCGATTTTCAATTGCAGACTTTTCAAAGTTGCAGCTGAAGACAAGATTGAAAAATGCTTTTCTTCATTGTATTTTGCCAGATGTGATATCATAGTTCCATGGAATCATAGTTTTAAAAATATCTATAAGAGACCATATTATAGTGTAAATAAAGCTGGGGAGGAGATTTCTGAGCAGTTAAGATTCAGCTTTTCCCCATGCAGTGTTTACTGGCAGTTTCTTAGAATCTCTTTGAAGTTAGAGTTTTGTAGGTTGTTAATTTTTAATTTCACTTTGCAGAATAATGGTCCAAGTATATACATATTTTGTCATTTAACTCATTCCAAGATGACCAGAAAAACATTGTTCCTCATAAAAGTCAAATGCGAAATTAATTCCTGTGAATTCAGCATTTCTTGAACACCTACTCTGAACCAGGTGGTGTGCTTGAAAAGGGCTAACTATAAAAAAAGGAAAGGCTCACATTCTAGGAAGGTAAATAAGGCTTAAGTATTGTGAGTTTTATTATCTTCTATATCTGTTAAGTTAATTTCAGTTTTGTATGTTTCTAAAATTTTCAGTAATAATTGGTGTTCTGTCTTAGTTTATAAATGTGAATATTCAAGTGTCCAGTATTATTTTAGCGATATTATTTGAGAGTGGATGGGATGTATGGTGTGCTTTTGCAGTCTTAGTATTCTTAAGAAAGCACAAATGCATTAACACTAAGATACTTTATATAACCTCCAGAAAATATCTGCCATTTTTGTTTATGCTGCTATAGAAAGTTAAATTAAATGAATACCTTCACATGAAAAAAAAAATTGGTGGAATTTTTCCTTATGCCTTTATACACATTTCCAGTTAAGCTGCGAACTTGATGAGAGCTTGTCACTGTTGCTCCTTAATCAGTAGGAAGGGGTCATCTTTGAGTGACATGAGGCATTCTTTCCCTCAGGCATTTATCACGCAGCTTTCACGCCAATTGCACCTCCTGCTGACGTGGAGCTTGCAAAACTAGGAATGATAATTGTTTTTATAACAAATGTGGATTGAGTTAGAAAGGTCAGTGATAGCATTATTAGAATTAGGCTCTGCCTGGTGTCAAAACAGGAGACACGAAATAGTTAACTATTCCTTGTAATTAAATTACATTATCAGAAAATTCACTTTATAGGTTAAAATGAACTGTAGTTGGAGACTATACTTTGGTAGTTATTGGCTGTGATATATATTTTAAAGTTATTATAGGCTATAAATTAATTAGAAAAGGATGAAATGTTGTTTTACTTAGTTCTGAGCATACAATTTCAAGGTAATGCAAATCGTACTCAAAGACCTTTTCAAAGGAAACAAAACATTTTTAACATCATTGATCATCAGATGTTTAAAAAGAGTGTGTCCTCTTAGAGTAAATACTAATCTTACAGAACATCTAAAATATGCACAAGCTGTTCCTAATACTTTTTATTTTTGAATTTATTACTATAGGTCTTTTTTAGTGTAAGTATATAGTTTTGATTATAAATACACTTAAAGCATGTTTTTATAAAGCTGAAATACAATCCTTAGCACTAGATAAAAGTGATTTTAAGAATATTATCTTTTTTGTTTTTGAAGAGAGACATTTATAATCTCTCCCACCCCCTTTTTAAAACAGAAGTATAATGAACTCTCCTCTGGGTTTTTTAACTTGCGGAATTAAAGATCAACAATATTAAGTCAGCAAAGTGACTGTTTATTAAACAGTATTCCTAATAAGTATGTAGTATTGTTATATATGTAATATATAATGTTGTATTGCCTTTAACAAATGTAAACCCCCAAAAGCCCTTATTCAAGTATTTATAGTTATTTCCAATTAGAATTAAAACATATACTTCCCAATTTATCATGTTTATATCATGGCCCTCAAATCTTTTTAGATGTTGAACCCAGATTTGGTAGATCTAATCCTCTTCCTTGCCAAGGTAGCTGAGTTGGATCAAGTGAACATTAATGCATTATGGATGTTAAACATTAATAGAGAATGGCTCAGTAGTTTGGGCCATACAATTTTGTTCTACCAAAGAGTGGAAGTTAAAAGGAAAAAAAAAAGGTTTACTACTTACAGAAAGTAAGTTCACTGAACTGAAAATCTGGAATCCAGCTTTGCATTTGCACCTATCATACTATTGTTTATTTTGATAGTAGATGAACTAAAATTACCACTGCTTCCCTATTCTGTCGCAAAGTGAAATAAATAGTAATATTAAGAAATCATTAATCTTAAAGTGTTGGCAGATGAAAATAACTTAGTTTGTTGTCAGTGACTTTTCAACATAAAGGTTAGGTCAGCAGTGGTTTATGTCATGACTCTTGATAAATTTTTCTAATGACCAAGATCATTTGATTTATAATAGTTTTTTGTTTTTGTTTAAAGGAATATATATCTTGGTTATCTGGCTTCATCCTAAAAATGCATTTTTCTACTTTGCATTATCTCCTTTTTTACAAGATTAGACATAAAATTATAGAGCACTAAGTAAAATCTAGTAAAATTAAAATGTGTGTTTTAAAGAACTTTCCAGGAAAACTTAAAAGCAGAATTGAAGAGGTGAAAACTGGGCAAGAGGATGAGGGCAAAAATGGTTAAGAACCATTCTGTTTAAAGGAATCCCAAGGGTAAAGATTTCTAGGTACTGTTTATTACATTGATGGAAGTTAGTGAAGGTATAAAATCAGTCTTACAGAAAACATGTAGACTAATCTCAGAAATAAACTGGGTCTTTGAAATTTTTGAGTAATATTTGATAAACTAAACCAAAGGTCCAGATAAGTGTTTTATAGAAGGTTCTTTTGGTTAAAATTCAATTTAATCAAAAATAAAGAATAATAAAATTCCAGTTCTAATGGTATCAGAATCAGGCTAGATTTTTTTTTCACTGTGTTTTAAAAAACAATTGACACATAGTAATTGTACATGTTTATTAGAGTACAGTATGATGTTTCAAGACGTGTACATTGTATAATAAAATCATAGTAGTTAACCTGTCCTTCATGTTAAACCTTTATAATTTCTTTGTACTGATAAGGTTTAAGATCCTCTTTTCTAGCAGTTTTGAAATACAATACATTGTTATTATCTGTAATCACCCCACTATTAATAGAATATCAGCACTTATTCTTCTTAATCTAACTTTGTAGCCCTTGAGACCATTGTCTCCCCATTTTCGCCTTCCCTCCCTTTCCATTCCCAACATCTGGTAACCGCCATTCTACTCTCTACTTCTATGAGATCAACTCTCCTGGAGTCCACACGTAAGTGAAATCATGTGGTATTTGTCTTCCTATGAGAAAAAGGCTGTTTTGAATAGTAATACTCAGTCCTTTCTCACAGGCAGATCTTGTATCTCATTTCTTATTTTCCTATCATTTCAGTTCTTTTACACTCCCAGAAATACTGTTAAGTTTATACTTAGCCATGTTATTGGAGGAGATGGACTTATAGAAAGGTTGAAAGCTGTTTATTAAAAGTTGTTGGACCTTTTACCTAAATATCATTTTCCTTTACTAATTTTAATATTTTAAAAATTACAAGTAAATGTTATTAAAAATTATTTCCTCAGCCAGATACGGTAGCACATGCCTATAGTCGCAGCTGCTTGAAAGGCTGAGGCAGGATGATCACTTGAGCCCAGGAGTTCAAGACCAACCTAAGCAACATAGTAAGACTATAAGTATAAATAGTAGTGTGTGTGTGTGTGTGTGTGTATACGTGTGTATATATATATACATATATATATACAGAATATATACACAGAATGTGTGTGTGTATATATATATATACACACAAACACATGTATTCTCTAATTACATAAGGAAAAAGATTGTAAGTAAAACCATTACTTACAGTAATTGTTTTTATTGAAAAAATTTTGGATATTTCTTTTTCACTTCTCCAGATTTCTTTGTAATAATTTGTATTTGTTTATAATACCAGTAATTAATTTATTTTGAAAGTGATGCTCCTGATTTAAATAAGAATCAGTCCTTTGAAATTTTTCTGAAGTTGTCTTATTTAAACTAGCATCTACTGGATTTTTAAAAGGTAAGCTACAGTTTTAGTATGTGATTTCTTTAAGGTTGGATATAATTAAAAATATAATTAGTATTATCTAACACAGATCTCAAATAATACACTATACTTGTGCTCCTTTTTTGAACATGAATCTGACCTATCACTTAACTAATAATGTTTCTCTGGTCCTTATTTTAAGCCACTTCAAAATGGAGCCCCAAGTATGCTGAAGTGGGAGTTGGAGGGGTATCACTCTTTAGTAGTACTCTTACGTCGCTAAAGAATAAACTTTATCTTGCGGAGTCATAACGTATGATAACGTATCTTTACTTTCTGATATTAGTGTTTATGGAACCTGAAGAATTACTTGTTCTCTAATGAGACTTTTTCCGATTTGACATAGAAAAGCAGGAAGAAATTGGTTAAATGATAGCTACATTTATTCAGATTGTAGCTTAAATGGCTTTGAAAGGATACTACTATATCAAGAATTTTTTTCTTCTATCATCAGTCTGAAAAAATATTCACTGTATAACTTATATGAAAAAATATCCACTTTATAACATATTATTTACAACATTAATGCAGATACAAACAACCCTCTGTTGAGAGAATTCTGAGAGTGTCTTACCACAGTTCTCCAGAGCATGTTTATTTTGCACCTCTTCTGTGAAGGCCGGCGAAATAGCTTCTTGTAAGGTATTCTTTTAAGTACTAAAACAGTCTTTTTACAGTTGTTTAGTATAAATATCCTGTATACCTGCATGGTAACCATCGTACACCTGATAGTATCAGTCTGTTTTTTTAGGGGAAGATTTCTTACCTACCGGTCAGGGCTGTTGTCACAGTCATGGAAAATCAAGTACATATGCATTTATATGTACTATGTATCAAATACATAGCATCATAGTATACAAGATTGGATGGTGAGTACTTGGTACCCCAATCCATAAGTCATTGTATTTTGCTCTTGCTAACATTACCAAATGCTGTATGTTTTGATTTTTAAAAAATGTTTTTCTCTTCTGCAAATGCATTTTTTAAAAAGTGATGGTTAGCAACTTTACACAAATAATGGAACATTACATTAATCTGTTTAAAAACTCCTTCATCAAATATGCATAGTGTTTTCTGGATTGTTTCTCTTGTGCTTCAAAGACCCTCCTGTGGTTTGCTAGTTCTCTGTTAATGGAAACCGAAGTTTGTAAGAGTTTTAGGACAAAGGTAAGAGTTAGGTATACCATTGTGGTTTTTTGGTCAGAAATTGGTGTTAGCTATTTCCTCTGTTATGAAACAAAGATGACAAAATTACAAACATACTCCACCTTGTATGATAGGAAATAGATACTTCTATCTTTGTAAAGTTTTTCTAAGAGCTTATAAGTTCTTGACACCGATAAATTGTTTTCCATGGTTACAGTGTTACAAGGTACAGATTTTGACTTGTTTTCATAATTACTGTAGAAAAGAAGAATGTTTTGTGGGCATGTAGTTATAAGGTTTCAGTTCTCCAATAGCTTTATTGAAAAGGGTTCTTTGAAGTTGGGACAAATATTGTCATTTCCTTCCCCTTGTCTCTCTTTTGTGGTCCAGCTGTTTCTGTAACAATGCTTGACTATTCTCAGGTGTCTCTAGTAATGCAAAAAAAACAAGTATGAGTAAGTATGTGTAGTTAGGCCAGGTGTGCTCCTTTGTCTATGAATTTAGCATTTCCTCCAAACCTGTCACCATTTGAACTCTGGCAAAATAAAATCCCTCAAATAGACTCAAGCGATTTTGAGCTTGTCTTTAACTAGAAAGTGAAACTGAACCTATATTATCTTTCTTCACTAGTGGAAGCAACAATTCTACTCAGCCAGGCTTCAGGATCTCCTTAAATGTATTCCTTCAGAGAAAATAAGGTAGTTTTTAGGTTCTCTCATTGACTCAGGTTGGCCACTCCTTTTCTCTTTGGAAGGAACATTGAAGAATCTGTAGTAGAGGATAGTGCAATGCAATATTAATTTTGCTACATATTGAAAAAACTTAGGCACGGCTACTTACCTAAACTGTTTCTGCTTTCCTTGAAACAAACCTTTCTGCCTAATGTAGTAACACTTAATTGACTAAAGCAGAACAGCAATGTACTTTGGTTACTTTTTTAAAAATGGAGTAATATTTTTCAGTGACATTTGAAGGTACGGATAACCATCATATAAATTTAAAAACCTGTCTTTACAAAAATACTGCTTGTGCATGTAATAGAACACTTTTTTTGTTTGAATTTTTTGTTTGGGTTTTTTTTTAAGCTTATGATATCAAGGAAGAGGTCAATAAATTGAAACTCATTTGAGATCAGTTATAATTTTTGCTATTTTTTAATTCTTAACTCACATCCTTCCTTGGAAAAGCCCAGATAGAATCATTAAGTTCCAGCAAAACTTTCATGGTGCTCCTACTTTCTACATTATGTGATTGCTTTGGACATTCAATGGTTTTTATTTGCATAGTATTCTTTTTTAATGAGATTTTTCAAAATTATTTATCAAATTTTAACCATTCAGCTAGAATAAATCATATGCAACTGCCTCTATACGAATTGCCACTCTATAAATAATAGAAACCGAGGTACCAGAGGGGAACATTTTCACCCAAAAAAACAAAAAAAAAGTTTTGATGTTTTCTTTCAGTGAGTTACACCAATCATCCCAGGAAAAAGAAGTATAGTTGAAAGAAATGACACTAATGGAAGAAAGAATTTACATTATTTTCTATGTGGTTTTAATTCATACTTGACTGAGCAATTAGAAAAGGCTGGTTCTAGATACTCTAATCAAACCAATGAATAGATATCTATATACACAGTCACACTAGAGTGTGAAATCATGCTTTTCATTTAAAACCCCAGCATTTATGCAAGTATTAATTTAATATCTGAGACCTTTTTCAAGAAATACAATGGTGGCTGTCTTTACTTGTATTTCTGGAGCAAAAAGGTGTAACTGCCTTATACCTTTGTTCTTAATCTATACTACAAAACTCAACATTATAAACATTTAGGCCCATTTAACAAGTTCATTAGCTGAAATTACAGACTTTGAATAACTTGTTAATACAAATATACACTACTTTCAGCATAGGAGAACTTAGATATGAGATCAAAGTGAAAAAAAGCTCCTCTGGTCCCTAGATAAAAAAGTTTATTTCTGAATTTTCTTCACTTTTAAATGAAGAATAAAACTTTTGTAAAAGATAATTTTAGAAATGTATCAATTAAATTTGGCTTACACTATACTTCAACTCCAGATTTGATTTTAGTATGCAATCGTTGGTTTGACCATTGCCAATAACAGGGTCATGCAGTTGGTATTCAATAAATATGTCACAAGGCTGTTTTTTAAAGAATCTGCCAACTCAGATTATCCTAGTGTATAGAATGTTTCAAAAATTGGAATTCCTACAGAACCTATCAATCAGTTTGAGTCTAAAACAGCACCAGAATGAGTGAGAAGTACCATTATGTGTTTTTTTTGATAGGTGAGGAAAAAATTTAAAAGCACAAATATGCATTTCTTATGAATTATCACAACTAGTGGCAATAATAGTTTGGAATACAAATATAATGATGACTTTCAGTGAATTTACTCACTAAAAGATACTGAGGAATATATTTAGTAGTTTACAATATCTACGATCGTTAGCATTCCAAGTAGATGTTAGAGTGACATTCAATCTCTTAAGATATCTTAAAATATTTACATCACAGACCTCTCAAAATCAAGACAAGTCAGGCAGCTCTCAAGACAGAATTGAACCTATGTGAGAAGGGGAAAGAAATAGTTAAAATTTTACTATACATAGACTGTTTTCAGCCTGCGAATGTAGTCGTTTCTAGAAGTGATGAAAATTTCTCTGAATATCTTTTGTACCTCAAGCTAGTTCTTATTCTTCTATGAATTTTATTGGATGCTCACCCCTCCAAAGGTATTTTTATACAAGAGTCAGAGTTTGAGGAAAAGCCCGGTTTGTTTAAACCAAATCTGTATTTCTCCAAGTGAAATATAATTTATAAGAATATACATGCAATTCCCCATCAATCTCTGAACCACCAAAAAAAAAAAAAAAGTATTGATTATACATGGGAAAGATTATTTTCTTTTGTATTTAATGCAGTGAATGTGTAGTGAACATTACCATTGAACTAAACATCTGAAATTTGATACAGTGAAACAAACAAATTAGTCATCTGTTAATGGTTACTATCTGCTAGATACATCTCAGGTTGTAGAATATCAGGCTTAGAGACATCTGAGTACACATTGCCAGCACAGAACATAAGTCTCACAAGGTATAATCGAAAGTTATTTCAAACAATTATCTCATCAATAAACTTTCTGTAGTAACATCAAGTTCATGGAACATTATGTTTTTAGCAACAAACAGTGATGGTATACAGATGGAAGCATGTCATTTTAAACATGATACATTAAATAGAGCATGTTGAGGTCAAAGCCTTTCTGTAGAAAGGGAATTTAATTGACATTCAAGCATAGTATATAAACAGATCAAAATAGTTCTATTATAAGAAATAGTATTTAACTACTTATCTTTAAAATAAAAATACTTTAAAAATCAGCTTCAATGAGATTGTTAAAGAATCTTCCTTTAGAGTGAAATAAACATTTTTCAGCTTTTCTATGACTTTTCCAGCATGACCCCCACTTTTACCCCATCCCAGTCTATTATTAATAAAGTAGTGCAAAGCATTGGCTGCTGCAATTTCAACTGAGTATAATCCCCTACCAAGTCAGGGAAGTAAGACATTCTCAACCAACCAAATTATTTTTCTCCAGAGGTATGCTCCCTCAATATAACAGGGAGTGAGATACAAAAACTACTTTAAAACCCCACTTTTACCCCATCCCAGTCTATTATTAATAAAGTAGTGCAAAGCATTGTCTGCTGCAATTTCAACTGAGTGTAATACCCTACCAAGTCAGGGAAGTAAGACATTCTCAACCAACCAAATTATTTTTCTCCAGAGGTATGCTCCCTCAATATACCAGGGAGTGAGATACAAAAAACTACTTTTAAGAGTCTTGGGAATGCAATTTTTAAGTGTAGATTCTATGATAATAGTGAAACATTGTTAAAGGCAACCACCACCCCCAAGCAGTTTATTTTACAAAACAGGTTTTCATGCATTATCAAGAATTTTTTTTTATAAATGTAGTGAAACACTGGCATATCACTTAGCACACTGCATTCTCCTCTACATTAAAATTCACACTAATAACAAAATCATAGTATGAATTAAAGCATTTCAGTAATCTAATGAGAAAGCAGAGTTTTTTTTTTGTGAGAGCACTTGAGTATTAAAATATTTTTAGATGCACAGATGCAATCTGACACCAAAAGCGATATGGATATAGTTTGCTAGTATTTTTGATAACTATCCTGGGTTGCTAATTTGCTACCTCTGTGTAAATTAAATTAGTGGTAGGTATAAAAATTCAGGCAATTGTTTATAAACTGGCAGTATTTATGTGGTGTAGTCCTGTAGAGATTTTAAGGTTTTAGATGGAATGATTGTTAGAAGGTTTGAAAGTTTTCTTTATAGAATTGCAGAGTATTGAAGATTCTCTTGAGGGAGTGAATGTGCCTTCACTTATTTGCTTAAAATCAGCCTACTCATACCTAAGTAATTTGCACAGGAGTGAATGTCAGGATCTAAAGCCAGAATATATGTTAAATTGAAATACATCTATTCCATTATTCAGGCTTTGGGATTTCCCTGTCTTTTGAAATGTATAAAACATAGAAAAGTGTAATGGATTACTTTTAAGATAAAAAATAGTTACATTAAAAAAAAAAAACTTTAAAATCAAATTGACATTTACAATTGATGTTGATTTAATCAGAGCACAGTTGAGTATTTAATCCACTTGTAATTAGATAAGTATATATCTTCCAATGTTATCATTCTTATATTTGTTCTTTCAGTGTGTTATATTATTATCCACAGCTAACAAGGCTTTCACACAGCAGTAGCAAAACCTTTATCAAGTTGAGTCTGTACAACAGAAGTATATTTTCAAAGACATATCCCTTTGTACACTATTTACAAATTCTCTCCATCATGATAAAAAGGCAAAATAAATAAAAAGCGGAAAAAAGGAAATGCTGCTGAGGCTGAGGGCTTTTTCTTTTATCTTCCCAAACAGATGCTGGTCTCCTCAGTGCTAGGAGCTGGCTAGCCAAGATTGTTTTTCTTTCTTTTATATGGGCTGTGAGAAGGATCTGGTTTCAATTCTTGGTACTGCACCTGTTTAAACAGAGTTCAGAGAAATACTGTTCAGGTGGCCACTTTCTGGCAAAGAAAGGAAAAGCAAAGGAATGAGAGACTGTGCTGGGGGGAAAAGTGCTCACTCTAGAAGCTATATGGGATCTGCAGCTGAGATGCAGAAAGCAATAGAATGACAGAGCAAGAATAAGAAGGGAAATCCTGTTGGAAACTACATGAAACCCTGATGTGAACTTTAGTAATGGCCTTCACTAACACATTACATTAAAAGCAATACTATATCGATTTTAAAGGGCTTGATGATGGTTTTTTACAATTTAATGTGTGTTTGCTTAATACAGTCTTAATTTCCATCCAGCCCACTGTCACAAAAAAACAAAAAAAAATCCTTTTTTTATTCTGAAAACAGCTGATGGTTAACGGGCATTAACCTCAAAGGATTTCAAAGGTTTTAGAGATATGCTATACTCTTCAAAAAAACTCTCCTCACTGACCTCCAAAATATACTTCTTTAAAACTTACTTGTAATTCTTGCAAATTCTGAAAAGATATTTTTTTTCTCAATGTCCACTGGCATATTTTGATTTCATCATCTAATATTCCTATTTCCTCCCTCAGGTTATAGTGACTCCCATCACAAACTCCAGCTGAACTAACCTGGAAGAGTATCCTCCCTGACAGCTCTGGTAGGTTCTTTATGCAACTGCTCTTTCTCCCATTCTCTGTAAGTTCTTCTTAGATAACACCCCCAGTGGGCTAAATTTCTGACTGGTAAAATCTGCTACACAGGCTTTATTAATTTTACTCAGCTCTTGTAAAGCATTTGCATTACAAGGATATAAATGCTAAAACCCAGAGCCATACTGCATTAAAATAATAGCAGTAATAATAACAAAACCTACATACCACTTGTACATCTGAAGGGACTCTGGAAAGGAAGTCAAGTAGTTCATTGTTATCAATTGCATATGGACTCCGAAGCTTTTTTGTAAATTTATTGATTCCTGAAAAAGTGATAGATTAAACATTATTTAAATAACCAAAATTGGAGATAAACAAAGCACATTTCTGGCAAAAGTGTTGTAGTAATTGGAAGTTCTAACTTGTATGCCTGGAACCAGTGAACCAATGCACCCAATTTTTTCCCTCTCTTCCTCTTTTTCTCCTTCATTTCTTCCACCTTCCTCAGTTGCTGCTCTTTCACTTTGTACTTTAGTGCTTCTTCCAAGCAGGAAAGGGTTTCTATGTGGGAAATAAATGAGGTTCCCTAGCGGTAATTAGCAGCCTCTTGCATTTTTCCCTTCTGTGTTACAGTATACTTAGAAGCCTTACTTTAGTATTTCATTTCTGATGAAACTTGCTTTCCTACTTTTTGGGTTAAGATTTTTAAGGCAAGATGTCTAACTTACTGGTTTCCCCTTTTCCAAAAAATGCATCTTTTTGGAGGTGGGGATGTGTGTTGCTGTTATGCCCAATCAATGTTTAGAAGACACGTGATCTTTATTTTTTTTTTCAAACCGGAAATGAAAAGATTTGCCCCCAGCTTTGTAAAAAAAAAAATAAACACCTTTACATGAAATCAACAAACTGGTAAAAACTGAGCCATAAACAAGAGCATTTTGGCTCTTCTTCAGGGAGTTCATGCAGAATAAGCTTCTAGAATCTGTCTCCTCATGTAAGACCTATAGTCTTAAATTTCTAGCTAATATTTCAGCAATCACATACCACCAAAGGAATACTTTTCTTGTTTTATTTTATTTGATGAAACAAGAGGCCCAAACACATTCTGCAAAATCACTTTTAAGGCAGTTAGTCAGTGAGGCCCCTGCAAGTTACATAGCTAGATGTCTGCCCTGGGCTCCAGTTTCTGCAAACCTGGGAGAACAGGGCATTCACCACCACCTATTGCAACAGAGATGACTCCACAAGCCAAGGCAGGCCTGACCCTAGGTAGACTAACTTTTTCAATAAAAAGCATCTGCCTTAACTATCAGGAAGAAATTAAAGATGAACATACAATAAGAAGAACATAGTGGAAATTAAATTATTCTTCCCTTATATAATGAAAGTGCTATCTAAATTGAATTTCTTTTAATTACAGAAATTAGGAAAGGAAAAAATAATTACCATTTCCCCCACCTCTCACCCAGGCTGTAAAGGTAAATGCTAGTGATAAGGGGTAAGAGGGCTTGCTCAATATATGATAAGTTGGGCCAAAAGCAGAGGGCTTGGGGTATCTGACTTGAACTCATTTTATTCCAATATATTTCTTCAAAAGCCTTAAAGAGAAAAAAAAAATTGCTTTCAGTGTAAGCACATGCTTTTCAAAGCTAAGACCCATTTTGGTTCTTTGTGTTTTGTATAGGTTTAGCAATCTTAGGTGTATGTGTAGGCAGGCGAGGGGCAGGTATAGAATTCTTCTTCTACCCAGTCTTGTTTATGTATTATTAATGTTGTAGTAGATCCTAGAGATGGAAAATTGTTTTCCAAACCAATAATTTTGTCAGGAAAGAAATTAAAGAAGAAGAATGCTGCAACTGACAATCTCCTAAACGGAGCCCAGGTGCATAGGAATCATTGGCATGCAGCATACTCACATAAAAAATTAGGACCGAAAAAAATCACCTTTAATGTAGGTATTTATAGAAACAGTCTTATTTAGTACACATAAAGGGATCTTTTTGTTCCTAAGGAACCTGCAAGTGCCAAGGACCCTTTTCCCAAATGCTAAAGGTGACCTCTTAAACAGGCAGCCATGTGTAGTACCATGTTTACATGTACTTCCACAAGATAAAATACAACAGCAAAGAAAGCATATTTTCTTAAATGCACCATATGGATTGAAATGCCTCTGTTTGTTTGTATATAAGTGGTGAAAATAAATCAGAGGGATATCTAGACAAAGCTACACTTTGATATATGAAGAATCTGTACAACTCACATGTTTATAGTATGATGAAACCTAGTGTGCCAGATAAGAAAAATACATTTTGCAGGTAGACCTAAATCTTTATACTGTTGTGATTTTTAACTGACCTGTCTCTTTTCATCATGGAGTAGCTTTATGACCATAAATACAGAGAACTGCTGACAGTATAACTCATCTCTTAAACACAGTTTGTTTGTAGCAGCTAAGACAGTTTGGGGGAGCCTGGGAGGGTTTACTTACCCCAGACAAGGACAATGTATCTTAGCGGAATGCAGTACAGGATGACTGTGAACACACAGAGGGCTACAATGGCCAGCCAGCTTAAGAATGGGACAGTCCAGTTGAAAGTACTGAATGGAAAATTAACACATCAGCAATCTGAGTACGTCATACTTTTTTAAGTATTGAAATACATGATTCTGACTTAACTTGGGACCTAGTTAGTCGGCATTTCTCTCTGGAATAGATTCCAATTGAAATAGGTTATCAGAAGACACAGGCTAGTTCGTCATAATCTGCTTAGTTCCATGAACACAGGGCCCAGGTAAAGAGTCTTGCTGCCAATTTCTCCAGATTTTCCCAGGTGACTTCAGCGTCTAAAGCTCTTGCACTACTTGGGTGACTTCCCACATGGAAAAAGATCTTTATTTTTCTACTGCTAAGACTAGTAACCATCCTTGTTTTCTCCAGCTTTTCAGAGGGGAATGTCCCTGGGCCTACCATTCTTCCTTCTGTCAACTCTCAGTATTCCCCACATTGGGAATAAAATATTGCCAGCATGGTTATGTAAAAAATCCTCTGAATGTTAGAATTCCTTAGAGGAATACTCACTTCCAACCTCAGCTATGTTTCAAATAGAACTGGAAATCAGGAAAGAACAGAACAGTTAGCCTTGCAAAACTTCACCTCTCATCATTGCCCTTCTTCCCAGAAATACATAGGTAATTACGAAATAAAATCAGCATTGCTTACTATTATCTCTCATACTTCTTGTGAAGGAGAGCATTCTGGCAAAAGTAATTGGTAACGGAGAGGGCTGAGTCAGAGAAGACTGTAAGACTCAGTATTGACAGTAAGACAGAATAGCAAACAGAAACAAGACCAATGAACAGAAGTAGAAGTTACAAAAAAAAAAAAAGTACTGAGGAGATGGGAAGGAATTTACTGAGACAAAAAGGGAAAAGAAAAATGAAGACAAAGGCAAAAAATACGGAGTAGAAAATCAGGAAAAGGGAACATGGGACGATTGTAATCACTTAAGCCTTTTTGTGTGGAAGCCAGTCTGGTACTTAAGAGTGTGCCAAAATTATAAAGAAAATAGAAACACTATGTAGAGCCTCCAGGGTTGGGCATATAAATATATCACAGGTATACTATTGCATTCTTTCAAATTTCTCCTAAGAGTTCATTCATTAAAGAGGAACTAACATGTCATGTGACCAAGAAGTTAGCAGACCTGTATTCAAAGCCTAGATTCTGTTATGTGGATTTAGCTGAGTCAATCTCTCTAACCCTTTCTCCATTTATAAAATGGGATAGCTTTTATTCTGTCAATAATAAAAAAGTCGTGATGGTAACATGTTTATGTGAATCAAGTTGAAATTATTAGAAATAATCAACTCAAGGAATTTCAATTATGGTACTTTTTTCTTATGAGACAGTGAGAAGGGCCCCTAAGACACTTAAGAAAAACATATTGTTCATGTAGACAAATGTTACTGTCTTTTATTTCTTCTAATTTCCTGGTACTGTATGTTGTACTTACTTGAGGTGAGTTTTTTCAGGGCAGTTTTGACCCAATAAAGGATGATTGCTAAGAGATTTTCTCCTATATGGCGCCTCAGCATAATGAGGAATCAATTGTTCCTTAGCTTTGTGGCATGTAGCTTGCTTTTTGTCTCTGTCTAGGTCAAAATTATTGCCTAAAATTGTTTTTTCTACTAAATGAGCCAATGTTGGGTCAGTTTGGGTATCCTATGTTCTGTAACCCTTCGGGTCTGGCTTTTCTGTCTTTGTCTTTTTCCTCTTATGGGCAACCGTGAGCATCTGTAACTGTCACCAGGTAAAGGATCATGCCTTCCCTTCCTGATGGACACCTTTGCTTCTGCTTGCTTGTGGAGAGAACAGAAGGCTGAGGGTCTGCTTGCTTTCCTGCAGCTCAGCTCAGAGCCATCCATCACACTACTCCATGTGTGAGGGCACTGGCTCTTCACTCAGAAAACCTTCCTTCTGGGCAGCCCCACTGAAGAACTCCCTGTGTTCTTCTTGCTCCTATTGGAAGGATAAATGGTAAAGAATCTCCACCAGTGTAGCTGTTAGAAAAAAAAAAAAAAAAAAAAAGACTGCCCTTTTCTATTTCTACTCTCTGCATTATGGAATCTAAATCTAGAATGTGATCTTCCCCCAAAAAGGGATGCAATTCAAGAAAGTTCTGGAAAGATTATTTAGTAACAAGATGGTAATTATAGAGTCCTTTCATTTTGTGCTTAAAGATTGCTTCTGAATCTGCTTTCTGGATAGATGCTTTTAATTCCATGTGACCCCAGGAGAATTTCTCTTTTAGCATGGAAAAGATCATTTTGCTGGAGAGATGGGTCCTACAAGACTCACTGGCTCCTATGCCATATTCCTGTACCTTAGCTTAGCATAGGAGTTCTACAAAACCCAGGTTTTCCAAAGGCTGGACCACCACCAGGATCTGGTCATATCCCTTAGCTAGTCATCATGTTTTCCAGCCAAGCATCTGTTCTGAGGCTTCCTACCGCCTAGAGTTACAAAGGAGCTGCTTCTCAGGCATTCACTAGCCTGATCCTTGGTCTTTTGTTATAAATGAGATGTTTCTGTCAGGTATTAGCTCACAGTGTACCCCAGATAAAAGACAACACTCAATGGGGAAATGCCCCAGTGGGTTCATACTGTTTCAGTGGATAGTGGGTGGAGGACAGGTAAATATTCTTGGAGATGGAAGGAAATACACAGAGGAAGAAGGAGAGAGAAAAGATATGGGAACAGTCTTCAGAAGTCCAAAACTGAATGAATGCTTTCTAAAGGCACATCTGGGAGTGAGAGGGGGGCTGTTCTGTCTAATATAAGAAAGTAGAAACTCAGCACCTGGACATGTGGAAATATATTAAACAAAATTATACAAAACAAAATGCATTATCCCTTGAACATGAAAGGCACCAAATTAATGACTCATACCTTTAGTTTAAATAATTTACTCCTTTTCAAATTCATTGTATGCCCAAGGATTCAAATCTGTAGAAAACTTTTGGTTATGAATAATAAACAAAGAATAGATACATGAAACTAGGAAAATAAAGGTTCCTCCGGAATTTGGCACCCCTTCTTGAGTAGACTATTAGCAATCATTATATAGGCCAATTTTTACATAATTTAGAAGTATGTAATACTTTTAACTGATAATTCTTTTAACTGATAATTCTTATAAATACATCTTATTTTTAAGAAATATAACACTGTTTTAAGTAAAACATAAGTATATAAGATTAAGAATTTAGATATCTTAATTTTGCATTAGAGCTCAGTGAAGATATGTTTCCTTATTTTAAAAAATTAAGGAAAAGGCATTCAGTTTTTATAATTTTAAAAATTGTGTATTTCTAAATGACAAAGCATTAGTTTATTGATAATTATGATCTCAGCTGTTTAAATGCACACTTGAAAAAATATTTTTGCAGGGCACTATAAACACAATTTTTTAAAAAATTTAGTCGATGAAAATATAACTAGACCAATAATACAATGCAGGTGTATCTTAATTACCTGAAATCCTCATTTAGCTTGGTTTATTTTTTCCTATCACAATTTCATACTCCGTTTAAGAACAAAGTCTTTCACAGTGAAAAATGTGCTAAAATTTAGGACGGTGTTATTTCTTCGAAGCTACAAGTGTGACTTCTTTCCAACCAATATGTTCTAAATTTCAGGAAGGAAATTGACAGAACTTTCATAAAGCCAAAGACTGGCAGAAATAAAGTAAATAATGATAAAACTGAGCAATAGATCACCCAGAAGGAGTGTCCCCTGCCAAAAGGAATGTGGCATTTCACCCTCTGAGAAACAAATGGACACCCTGTCCCACGGAAGACTGGGGCTTACATGTCACTGTCACTCACTTCTTTATCCTTTCGCCAAAGGAAGCCACTTCATCTAGGATGTTCTGGACACTGACACATACCTCCTGGATGGCGTAGATTTTATTTATAAATCCCTTTTTTTCACTGTCCTAAAATGCAATTAAAAAAAAAATTCTGTATGAGTAAAGGTTTTCTTCATTGCTTGAATTCTTTGTGTTGTCCCTCTCTTGCATTTTTTAATAAACTTTATTTTTATGTGTGTATAAATGGATAATTGGAACCCATGAAAATATCAGGATTTTAAGGGACATGAGGAGGAAAGGTACCCAGCATCATGGATTTGTGCTTACAAAGGTGGCTGCAAAGCAAGAGACTTGGGTTCCATTGCTCTTGTCCTGATGAACAGAAGAAACATTTTGGGGAGGAAGGTATAAGAGAGAGGGGAGGTCCCAGAATTACTAAACTCTGATTCTACAGCGCTTCTGGATCCACTGAGACACTACTTAGTGGACCCATTTTCTTGATCCCACCCACGGCCCACATACCCAGCTTTTGTTGTGGCTCAGATATTTCAGCAGCAGAGAATGCTGGATGCAATTGAGATTTGTGAGCAATGAAAACTGCAGAAAACACGAACCACCAAAACCTGAAATCTATGTGGATACTGCTTAGATCATATATACACTAAGCCTGACCAACTTCTTAGAAATAAGTCATATATACAGTAGTATATGCTGTATTAGGTTCTAAACATTTTTTCCCCTTTTTGTACTTAGTTCTTCATTTTAAAATGTTGAATTTAAGCAAAGCTGGTGTGCTTCACGTAATAGACGGTTGGAGATTGAGCATTAAACCACCTAAAGAGTGGTGTGAGCCTAGGAGAGATGTGCATATTTTGCAGTTTTAGGCCCAAAGGAAGAAATAGTGGTGGCCTTTCACAATTGAAAATTCTGCTTAGTAGCCTGGCATCACAGGCACTTGCCTAGGCTGTTTAGTGGAGACCATCCAACCCTGATTCTTTGACTCCATTCCTCCATGCCAGCTTGAATATCTGTGGAAATGTAGATCCAATTTCATTACTTTAACTTCTTTGAACACTTGCACACTATGCCAGAACACTTGAGACCTCATGTGGCAGTCAGTGCTTGCTGAAAGCAGCCAGGAAGCTAGAATAATAATGTCATGTTGCACATTTACATACTGACTTTCATTTCAGAAGAGTCTAAAGCACTCTACACTGTGAACACTTGGCCAGGGCTGGCATTCTGCCACCTCAGAAACTACAGGCAAGTGAATGACAGATGTGTGTGCCTCCTCCAAGGACAACAGGGTACACTGAGATTGAGGACATGGAGGCCAGTTTTATAACTATCTTTGGTATAGATACCAGTTACTTAGGGCCTTCATTTTAAATTCAATTCACATGGAGAAATTTGTCTATATTATTCATCTTGCTTATGCCAAAATGGATCGTCAGTTAGGTAGATGAGATGCATAAAGCTTAATAATGGTGTTGGGAACAGTTAGCTACTCAGGGTTCCCTACTGTCTTCAGAAGTCACCATTCACTTGTCAGGACAGACGGTGCATCAATTTCTTATCTTTCACACTCTCCAGTAATAAAGCATTAGTTTCATCTATACAATTGTGTACGGTAGAGTAAAATGAATAACCAGTGGCTTTTTCCTGTTCCTTTCAAAATTACGAAGTTGGACTGCCCCAATTGTGTGTCCTGTAGTATTCTCATCTCAAGCACCAGCTAAGTTCATTTAAGTCTATGAAGCAAAGTACTGATAAATATTTAAGCACATACAGAGTAAGTCAAACCAGTTGAAGCATGCTGGTTATACAATGAAAGTGCATTGAGGCTGTCTTCCAGTTCAAAATTATGTGAAAAAATATTTTGCAGTAACAAATACATGAAATACCTAGGTAAAACCTCAGCAAGACTGGTATAAAATATGTATGAAGTTTTTTTTTTTTTTTTTTTTTTTTTTTTTCCAGTTGAATATATAGGTTTAGTGAAATTTCAAGCAAATCCTAATATTCAGAGTGGAGAAAATCAGGAGAACTTAATAGTGTTTCTAACATTTGTTTGGACAAAAATAAATAGGTAAATATAGCTAAGAAATTTTACAAAAGAAATCATGAGGCATTCAGTGTACTCCATATTTAATTAAAATGAGATATGGGCATCAAATGATTGGCATACAATAAGGTGTCATACACAAAGGAAATAAGGAAGTACTGTTATTGGGCAGTTGTTTTAACTATTTGGAGAAAGTTATGTTAAATCCTACCTAAAATAGACTATCAAATCTGAGATAGCCCAAATCTATCTTAATATCTACCTCAAACAGCCCCAAATATATTCCATATTAATTTTAGGAAGTTAGTATCTATCACAATCAAGTCAGCTTCATCCCTGAGATGGAAGGGTGGTTCAACATACACAAGTCAATAAAGTAATTCATCACATAAACAGATCTAAAGACAAAAACCACATGATTATTTCAATAGATGCAAAAAAAGATGATCTATAACATTCAACATCCCTACAAGTTAAAAACTCAATAAACTAGGTGTTAACAGAACACACCTCAAAATAAGGGCCATTTATGACAAACCCACAGCCAATGTCATACTGAATAGGCAAAAGCTGGAAGGATTCCCCTTGAAATCTGGCACAAGACAAGGATGCCCTCTCTCAACACTAATTCAACAGTATTGGAAGTTCTGGTCAGGGCAATCAGGTCAGAGAAAGAAAGAAAGGATATTCACATAGGAAGATAGGAAGTCAAACTGTCTCTGTTTGCAGATGACATGATCCTATATCTAAAAAAACTCTATCATCTCAATTGTAAACTTCTTAAGCTGATAAGCAACTTTAGCAAAGTCTAAGGATACAAAAATCAATGTGCAAAATTTGCTAGCATTCTCTATACACCAATAATAGACAAGCAGAGAGCCAAATCATGAATGAACTCCCATTCACAATTGCTACAAAGAGAAGGAAATACCTAGGAATGAAGCTAACAAGGGAACAGAAGAACCTTCAAAGAAAACTACAAACCATTGCTCAAGGAAATTAGAGAGGACACAAACAAATGGGTAAATATTCCATGCTCATGGATAAGAAGAATTAGTATCATGAAAATGGCCATACTGCCCAAAGTAATTTATAGATTCAGTGCTATTCCCGTGAAACTACCATTCTTCACAGAATTAGAAAAAACTACTTTAAAATGCATATTGAACCAAAAAAGAGCTTGTATAGCTAAAACAATCCTAAGCAAAAAGAACAAAGCTGGAGGCATCACGCTGACTTCAAACTATATTATGAGGCTACAGTAACCAAAACAGCATGGTACTGGTACAAAAACAGACACACAAACAGAATAGAATAGAGATCTCAGAAATGAGACTGCACATCTACAACCATCCGCGCCTCAACAAACCTGACAAGAACAAGTAATGAGGAAAGTATTCCCTATATAATAAACAGTGCTGGGAAAAAAGTGGCTAGCCTTACACAGAAAATTGCAACTGGACGTCTTTCTTATACAAAAATTAACTCAAAATGGATTAAAGACTTAGATGTAAAACCCCAAACTATAAAATCCCTAGAAGAAAATCTAGACAATACCATTAAGGACATTGTCACAGGCAAAGATTTCATTCATCAAAAGCAAGCATTTTGAATGCAACCAAAGCAAAAATTAACAAATGGGATCTAATTAAACTGAAGAGCTTCTGCCCAGCAAAAGAAACTATCATCAGAGTGAACAGACAACCTACAGAATGGCAGAAAATTTTTGCAATCAATCTGACAAAAGTCTAATATCAACAATCTACGAGGAACTTAAACAAATTTACAAGAAAAAATGCGGTGGCTCATGCCTGTAATCCCAGCACTTTGGGAGGCCAAGGCAGGTGAATCACAAGGTCAAGAGATCGAGACCATCCTGGTCAACATGATGAAACCCCGTCTCTACTAAAAATACAAAAAATTAGCTGGGCATGGTGGCACATGCCTGTAATCCCAGCTACTCAGGAGGCTGAGGCAGGAGAATTGCCTGAACCCAGGAGGTGGAGGTTGTGGTGAGCCGAGATCGCACCATTGCACTCCAGTCTGGGTAACGAGTGAAACTCCACCTCAAAAAAAAAAAAAAAAAGTAGACAAAGGACATAAACAGACATTTCACAAAAGATGACTTTTTTTTTTTTTTTTTTGACCTTTAGTTTCACTCTTGTTGCCCAGGCTGCAGTATGATGGCACGATCTTTTTTTGCTGCCCAGGTTCAAGCGATTCTCCTGCCTTAGCCTTCTGAGTAGCTGGGTTTACAGGCATGTGCCACCACACCCAGCTAATTTTTTGTATTTTTAGTAGAGACCAGGTTTTACCATACTGGACTGGCTGGTCTTGAACTCCTGATCTCAGGTGATCCACCTGCCTTGGCATCCCAATGTGCTGGAATTACAGGCATGAACCACTGTGCCAACCCAAAAGATGACATTTATGCAGCCAACAAGCATATGAAAAAAAGCTCAACATCAGTGATCATCAGAGAAATGAAAATCAAAACCACAATGAGATACCATTTCATGCCAGTCAGAATGGCTATTATTAAAGAGTCAAGAAACAACAGATGCTGTTGAGGCTATGGAGAAATAGGAATACTTTTAAAATGTTGGCAGGCAAGTAAATTGGTTCAACCGTTGTGGAAGACAATGTAGTGATTCCTCAAACACCCAAAACCAGAACTACCATTTGACCCAGCAATCTCATTACTGAGTATCTACCCTAAGGAATATAAATTATTTTATCATAAAGATACATGTACATGTATGTTAATTGTGGACTATTCACAAAAGCAAAGACATAGAATCAACCCAAATGCCCATCAGTGAATCAGTGATTCACTGGATAAAGAAAATGTGGTACAGGGCGGGGTGCAGTGGCTCACACCTGTAATCCCAGCACCTTGGGAGGCCAAGACAGGCAGATCATGAGGTCAAGAGATCAAGACCATCCTGGCCAACATGGTGAAACCCCGTCTATTGTATTTTTGTACTAAAAATACAAAAATTAGCTGGGTGTGGTGGCGCATGCTTGTAGTCCCAGGTATTCAGGAAGCTGAGGCAGGAGAATCACTTGAACCAGGGAGGTGGAGGTTGCAGTGAG